AAAAAAAAAAAAAAAAAAAAAACCAAACAAATAAAAAAGAAAATAATCCCTGGTACCCCCCCAAAAAATTGTATATCTATATTTTTGTACTACTTTCTGCCTCAAAGAATGAGGTTTAATGCCTCATTTTAGGGAGCTTACCAGTGCCAGTGCCAAACATGAGCTCACTGTCTGGGGAAGCAAAACCACTGTGGAGGAAATGGCCTGCCTTGGGCACCAGGGCCTCTGTTGGAAGAAACCCAGGCCCTGTCTGATTCCATCTGTCTGTAGCTGCTGGGAAGCGGCCTCCACCTGGCCCTTGACATTTTTGGCTTTAAGACAATGTTCCAAGCAAGCCTTAGCCAGAGTCCATTTTCTAAAACCCAGTTCCCTTCCTGGTAGTTTAAATGGCTCAGGACAGTGCTACCTTTTCAGGTGCTGCCATCCTCCTACAATGGTGAGAGCCAAAGCTGTTAGGATGACACTGCAGCCCCAAGGGCACTGAGCTAAGAAGCAGCTTCCAAGCAGAAAGCAAATGTGTGTGTGTGTGCGCACACGCGCGCACACTCCCTTTCAAGGGCTTGGCAGCTCTTTCTGCAGAAACTAAGCCATTATCCCAAGGGGATGGGTAGATGCGAAAAGAGCCAAGGAAGTGTTTTGGAGAAAGCATCTTTATTTTCTAGAAAGTTGAGGGTTTTTTATACCTCATATTGAGAAATAATAGTTGCCCTTTGCCTTTCATACTTAAGAAACTTTTTAAACTTAACTGTTTCTCCTGGGCTATGACTGACTTCCTGTAAGGCTGTCCAGATGGATCCAAAGTAAATCTTATGCTGGTTATGGTCACACGCTTACAATCCCAGCACTTAAGAGGCTGAGGCAGGAGGATCACCTTGAATTCAAGGTCAGCCTGGGCTACCTAGTGAGTTCAAGGCCATCCTGAACTACATAGCTAGACTCTGTCTCAAAAAACACCAAAGTACATGTGGTCCAGAGTGAGAAAAAAATTCTGCAAGGAGATACTTCAGGGGTGCAGGCAGTCACTTGAATTCAACCTTTACTTAAAACTGGGGCCCCAGAGGCTGAAGTGTAGCTCAATGGTAGAGCACTTGAGGCTACTTCAGTCTCAACACTGCAACAGAAAAAAGAAACCAAGGCCGAAAAACAGTTGAACAGGTTGGAAATCAGAGCAGTGTTGTTGCCCTGAGCGGGGAAGAAAGGAGGATGGGGGTTAAGTGGAAAAGAGGCACAACAGAACTCTAGGGGATGGGAACATTCTGTTTTGATTGCAGGGCTGGTCACATGGAAGGTTTTTCCAGTCTACACTTATGATCTAGACTCTTTAGTATGTGATTATATCTCAATTTAAAATGTATTCGGCATAGTAGAATAAACCAGAGTCTAGATATTGAAATTATGTGCTAGTTCCAGCTCTGCCACCAACTTCCTGTTTGTGTGTGTGTACAAGGTGCAAGCACTTAATCTTGGACTCCTGACCTCTCTTCTGTTCTACGAAATGAAGTCCCCACAATTAGGATGTTCAGCTTTTTTTTTTTTTTTTTTTTTTTTTGAGACAGGGTCTCACTATGTAGTTGAGACTGACCTGGAACTCACTGTGTAGCCCAGGCTTATCTTGAACTCAAAGTGATCCTCCTGCCTCAGCCTCCCTAGTACTGGGATTACGGGCCACCACACCCGGTTTAGGATGTTCAGCTTTTTTTTTTTTTGGTACCAGGGATTGAACTCGGGTCCTTGCGCTTGCCAGGCAGGCCACCGAACCGCTGAGCTAAATCCCTGGCCCGTGTTCAGCTTTTTAAACTAAGGTAGGAATGCAAATGAAAAAAAAAATTTTTTTTTTTTGGTACTGAGATTGAACTTGGGCCCTTGCACTTGTGAGGCAGGCAGCGGAACCACTAAGCCAAATCCTTGGCCCGAAAAAAATTTTTTTTGAGACAGGGTCTTGCTATGTAGTTCAGGCTGGTGCTGGCCTTGAACTAATGCAATCCTTCTGCCTCAGCCTCCCAAATAATGGGATTATAGGCATGTACCACCAGGCCCAGCTGAAAATCCTTAATCAGGGACAATTCGAAGAGAAATCTCCGACAGACTGCCCATTCATGCTGTGCCGTCCATATGGCTTCCATCGTCTTGGGGACAATGAAAGTCTGGGAAGAACTCTGGCCTGAAGCTCGTAACCTGGGCTCTGACTTTGATTCTGGACATTTTGCTTGTTATCTAGATGAGCCATCAGAGTCGGGCATGAG